GGAGGGGGGGAGGGAGAGAAGTATGGTGGAGAAATGCTGGGAACAGCATGTATTTGTGGAGGAAAACGGCAGAGGAAGCCAAGAGTCTTCTCATATTCCTGGCTGGTTGCTGGTGTGCGTGGAGATTTGAACCCGCGGCCGGCGGGCGTGGAGCTGAGGTCTTCAGTTCTGTGTGATTGGTTTAACGCTGTCCGTGGATTACTTTCAGGTGCATCAGGTCGGAAGAGAAATCTCTCGGCGTGGGACTGCACACATTCTGCACGCGAGTGTTTGGTATAACTATCCACCCCCCGCCCCCAATCCCAGCAGACCCATGTCAACTTACTTACTGAATGAAATACGGATCCTTCCAGACTCCCCCTGGACAACTCCTGTCTGTTTAATTCCGCTGGTCACCTAGCACATGACTTGCAGGGAACATAAACGGGAAATGCTTTGTTAAAAATAACCCGGGCCTAGCAAGGTATCCCAGCCGCTCGGGAGGCTGAGATCTGAGGATCGCGGTTGGAGGCCAGCCCTGGGCAAGGAACGTTGGTGGGACTCTTTCTCTCCTGGTAATCACCAAAAAGCCAGAAGTGGCGCTGTGGCTCAAGCGGTAGAGCACCAGCCTTGAGCTGAAGAGCTCAGGGACAGCGCCCAGGCCCTGAGTTCAAGCCCCAAGACCGGCACAAGAAATAAAATAGAATAAAATAAAACGCACATACAACTGACCCCAAACGTTTCAGGAAATATATAAAGTTTACGAGTGTTGATTGGCTGCTTGATGCCATAAATAATTTTCTTTCATTATTATTATTATTACCATAGCGTTTTACCTTTATCATCCAGAAACTTGGCAGTAACTCTCGGTTATTATCTGAAAACAAAATCGAGAGCAGTTGCTTTCTCTTTTGCTAGGTGGCATTTGTTTCTCAGCATATCACAGAGGGAAATATTTCCAATGACCATTTTTCTCCCTGCTTTTTTCCCTTTGTATGATCTTTAAGTAGTTGTCCAGAGGAGCTGCCACTGGACAAAGTGGTTGATGGACACAACGTGTCTTGATCTACGTCCCCCCCCTTTCCACATTCTCCCCCCTTTCCCTCCCCTCCCCTCACTCTTCGGCATTTTGGGGGACCCACACTGGAGTCTTGCCTGCCTTCTCCCCCTCTTTTCTCCATCCATTCACCCCTGACCCCCACCCCACGCTTCCTGGGGTTTGATTTTGCTGACCTTTGACCCTGCCCGGCTCAGGAAGGGCACTGGGTTCTTCCTGGAATCTACCGTGTTTCACGTAACACACTCACACGCCTTTGCACACCGCCCCACGTGGTGACGTGTGTGTTTATAAGCTAAGTCTAGCTTCCACATATCAGGGAAATGTCTTAATTAATTTTAATGAATTTATTAGCTTAGCTAATTGATTAAGTTTCTTCCTTAATTACAGCTGGAATCCCAGCTCCTATCTATTTTGGAGCGTTAGTGGACTCCACCTGTCTACACTGGGGCTCTGTCAAGTGTGGTAAGCCAGGCGCGTGCAGAATCTACGACTCAAACAACTTCAGGTAAAGACATTTGTATTTGGTCATGGCTATGGTTTTTTGTCAGTCCTGGGTCTTGAACTCAGGACCTGGGCGCCGTCCCTGAGTTCTTTCACTCAAGGCTGGTGCTCTACCACTTGAACCACAGCGCCACGTCTGGTTTTCTGGTGGTTTATGGGAGATCAGAGTCTCAGGGGCTTTCCTGCCCAGGCTGGCTTTGAACCATGATCCTCAGATCTCAGCCTCCTGAGCAGCTGGGATGACAGGCGGGAGCCACCAGCACCCTGGAGAGCATGGAACTTTTTTTTAGCAAACCACGCTCTCTTAGTTGTGAGTTTAAATATGTTCTTTACCTCTCCTTCTTTTACTCTTTTACCTGCTCTCAATTCTCCTTGCATGACCAAAAGCCACACACACACACACACACACACACACACACACACACACAGCCTGCACAGCAGTCTGCTGGGAATTGGCTTCACTAGAGAAACTAACCCAGCTGCTTTGTAACCTTGACTTCACACAATGTCTCAGGCCAGGGACAAAACAGAAGCAAGCTCTTGGCCAGAGTGAAAGGCATCTCCAGCCTGGTGCTCGGGTCCTGAGCATTCTGGTGTAACCATCACAGTGAGAACTTCAGGAACACGATATGTAAACATGTCTAGCTCTCCCTCCACTTTGCTCTTCTGGAATTTCCCACGATGCTCTACCCCATTCATTCTCAGCCTCCATTCTTGCCTGCTTCTCCAACGTCTTCCAAATTCCTTCCACCAACCAAATCGGTTCCAAGGCCTCTGACCCGAGACGATGGTGGGTTAAAAGTCACAAGAACTTGGAACCTCGGGACCCGTTTTCTGTGTCTGGGACATCATTTTTGGTTTTGATCAGTCCTGGTGCTTGAACTCTGGGCCTGGGCGCTTGTCCATCCATTCTTCAGCTCAAGGCTAGCGCTCTACCACTTGAGCCACAACACCACTTCTGGCTTTTTCTGCTTATGTGGTGCTGAGGAATCGAACCCAGGGCCTGATGCATGCAAGGTAAGCGCTCTACCACTGAGCCACCTTCCCAGCCCATGGAACGTCATTTTAAGGGTCCAGCAAAGAGCAGCGTGACTTAAACTTCATGATGCTCAGCAAGGGAGAGAGAGAGTATACAATCAGAGATAAGCAAGGCGCTGGTGGCTCCCGCCTGTCATCCCAGCGACTCAGGAGGCTGAGATCTGAGGATTGTAGTTTTTGAATCCACCCCTCTGCCCTGTGCAAGGAAAGTCTCTGAGACCCTCATCCCCAAAGAACCACCAAAAGCCAGAAGTGGAGCTGTGGTTCAAGTGGTAGAGCGCCAGCCTTGAGCACAAAAGTGGAGGGACAGAGTTTTTAAGCCTCAGGACCCAGGAGAAAAATGCATAAATAAATCGGATCTGGTCTTCAGAGAGACGGAAAACCCATCTGTGTTAATCTACTGCAATTGCAAGGTGTGTGTATGTATGTATCTGTATATATGCACATATGTATCTGTTTAAATTCAGGTTTATGTTTGTATGCAGACACATCTACCTAGGCATGCCCGCCGCCATCAGAGGCTCTAGCTTCCTTCCGGCCTTTGCTATCTTAATTCTTTTGAAGAGTCGCCAGCTTCCTGGGGAAAACGATTCCCCCGTCACTGAGTCTGCAGAGCTGAAGGTCGCCCAGGGGGGAAATCAAGGCAGAGATGTAGCCCAGCACGCTAAGGGTTTGAACGACGAAGAATTGAAAACGAAACTCTAAACGCCTGGTGTCTCAGCTCACCCACGGCTGGAAAACGTGTCCCTTCTAATGTCCTTGAACGGAAAAAAAAACAAAAAATCATCGGGGGTGGGGGGGTATGGCGGGAGACATCTTAGAGAACCCCGGGGCCTTGTCCTGGTGGGAAAAAGAAGAAAAAGAAAAAGAAAAAAAGAAATGTCTGAGGGTGATTTGTGCAGGTAGCTCCCACCTGTAAATCCTCGCTACCCCAGGAGCGGAGGTTTTAGAACTAAGCAGGAAACTTCTGGAGTCACCAGCCAAAAGCCTGGCTAGAGGCGTGGTTGAGGTGGTAGAGCACCCGGGACGTGGACCCTGAATTCAAGCCCTGGTACTGCCAACAACAACGCAGAACAAATCAATAAAACACAAACAAGCACCACCACCAAATATTCTCCTAAAATAGGAAGGCTGATGGGAACTGGAACGAGAATTGCAGAATCTACTTTGTTTTTCATGTGGATAAAACACCTTTCTTCGTGAACGCTGGAGGATCTACTTCGTGCCCCAGGCACTTCTGCTTTGATGGCCAACCAGAATGTTCCGTGCTAAGGTTGCGAGCAACACCGAGATATCTCTCAACGGATCACTTTCTCCTGAGAAAATCACGCCCCCCCCTCCCTCCACACCTCCTTTATCTCTTTGGGAATTTGGGCTCTTTTGAACTCTTTTATTATTCGTCCCAGACAGGACTGTATTGGAATCAGTTACTCATTCGCAAGGTGGACATGTCGTTTTCAATTCTGTGATTGCTTTTGTGTGTGCTGAGAAACGGAATCCGGTTGCTGCAAAAGCAAATCACGTGGCAAGAGATTTTTCGCTTCTTTCTGACACGCCAGATCTGGTGAGCAAACGCTTCCTTGAAAACCAACATCTGACTCAAAGGAGAAAAGGCCAAAGCCAGACCCTCTTTAAAAAACCATTCGTCAGGGTCAGGTACCGGTGGCTCATGCCTGGAGTCCCAGCTACCCAGGAAGCTGAGATCTGAGGATCACGGTTCAAAGCCAGCCTGGTCAGGAAAGTCCATGAGACTCTGATCTCCAAGGAACCACCAGAAAACCAGAAGTGGAGCTGTGGCTCAAGTGGTAGAGCACCAGCCTTGAGCGAAAGAGCTCAGGGACAGCGCCCAGGCCCCGAGTTCAAACCCTAGGACGGAAGCCCAAATAGCAGCCATTTTTCATGTTGGATATTATGGAAAGATCACATTTCGAGACCAGGAGAACCCCCCCCAACACACGAATATTCATTTGTCCACCCATGAATATTCATATAACAAACGTGAATATTCACATAGCCAATACATGAATATTCACCTATTCAATAAACACCCCAGGACGTTAATATTCCTATGACTTCTTGTGTCCTAGATTCGAGCGCCGACACACTTCCCCCAATGATCTTGGAGAATAAAACATGTTTGGTTTAATAAAAGTAATCACTGCTATGAAAACTGATGTCACTGAAACTCCAGACAACGCGCTAGACACAGAGTCACCTGGCACCGGTCTATTTTTGTTACAAAGGTGGTGTCAGGTGGTGAGTGTCTTTCTCTTTGAGAAGGGAGATATATTTGATTTGCTCATGCATTTCCTCTCCTGATCTTGGACCAGGTCAATTCTGCGATCAGATCCCCATCAGAGCAACCACCACCACCAAAAAAACCCAAACCCCAAACCCCCCAACCCTTCCCCTCCGCCTCCCTCTCCCTTCCCAATTATGGAGCAGCTTGTAAAAATAAAAGAAAAGAAAAAAAAAAAGAAAACCAGAATGCAGAGCAGGTCTGGTGGCTCACACCTGTAATCCAGGCAGCTTAGGAGGCTGAGGTTGGGAGGATCGTGGTTCGAGGTCCTCCTGGACGGAAACGGAGGTGACGAGGAACTTCATCTCTACAGAAGGGAAGGTGGGCTGGGCTGAGCTGTAATCCCAGCGGCCAGGAAAGGCTGATGGGGAGTAGGAGGGTGGGGGGGGTCCTTATCACACACACACACACACACACACACACACACACACGAATAACCAGAGAGACACGTAGCTGGAGGAATCGCTCCGTGGGACCACACCGGCCTTGAAAGTGCAGGGATCTGGGTTCGAATCCCAGGGCCCCGCAAAGAAAATACGAAGGAGAAAATGGGATGCCAGGTGGGGAGGGGGGAATTATTTCTAGATAAGAGAGCAAAGAAGTGGGTGGACACAGGGGCCGAACCCTGGTGGACGCGTCTCCCTGTTATCCAAACACCGTGGCTGTAATCACAGATACCACTCGCAAGCCGCGGGGAAATCCCAAAGATCCTAATACACACCAGGACCAACAAGAAAGCGAAAGGCAGCAGCAACAGACCAAGAAAGTATCCGAAATAAACCTGGGCGTTGGAACCATCGGACCACGAGTTTTCTTTTGCTATTGTCTTTTGCCAGTCCCGGGGCTTGAACTCAGGGCCTGGGCGCTGTCCCTGAGCTTCTTTGGCTCTAGGCTGGCGCTCTACCACGTGAGCCACAGATTCACTTCTGGCTTTTTCTGCTCATGTGGTGCTGGGGAATTGAACCCAGGGCCTCGTGCATGCGAGGCGAGCACTCTACCACTGAGCCACCTGTTCCAGTTCAAAGTGTGTTGATTACAAATCCAGGTGGGATTGGCGGTGCAGCTCAGTGGTATACGGTGCATGCTTAGGATACCTGCGTCTCATCACAAACCCCAGCTCCTCGGGAGGCTGGGATGTGAGGATCATGGGTTGAGGCCAGCCTGGGCAGGAAAACCTCCAATGAGCCCCCAGAGGTGGCCCTGTGGCTCGAGTGGTAGAGCGCCAGCCTTGAGCTGAAGAGCTCAGGGACAGCGCCCAGGCCCCGAGTTCAAATCCTATCTACGACTGAGAAATGACATGGTCTGGGGTTACAGGGGGGCACTGGCGCAGGGTCCGTGGCTGGGGGCCGCGTCTTTGGCTGAGCAGAGTGAGATGGAATTTGGGGTTCGCGTGAACACGTACGCTGGTGATGGACTGGGGGTGAGGGGTGGGCGTGGGGCTTCATGAACCCCGCAATCGCCCCCGTAGAAGGGGGAAGGAGGAAGGCTTTCTAGAAACATCCATGGGCGGTGGTCAGCTTGCCTTCTGGATCTTTCCGGGTCACTGTATCTGGGTAAAATTGCCAGCGGGACGGAGGCTCACGGGGAGCCAGAGATGACACCTCCCTCCCGGGACGAGGCCTCGACCTCCAATCCTCAAGGCCTCGACCTCCAATCCTCAGCAGTTACTCCACCTGCACAGGACCTGCTCCCCACACCAGCCACAGCCAAAGGACATTGCTCACTACAGCCCTCCCTCCCTCCTTCCCTTCCTTCCTCCCTTCCTTCTTTTCTGCCTTCCTTCCTCCCTCTCTTCCTTCCTTCTTTCCATTCCTCCCTCCCTCCTTCCTTCCCTCCCTCCCTCCTTCCTTCCTTCCTCCCTCCCTTTTCTCCCTCCCTCCCTCCTTCCCTTCCTTCCTCCCTTCCTTCTTTTCTGCCTTCCTTCCTCCCTCTCTTCCTTCCTTCTTTCCATTCCTTCCTCCCCCTTCCTTCCTTCCTTCCCTCTTTCTCTCCCCTTCCTTCCTTCCTTCCTACCTTCCTTCCCTCCTTCCCTCTCTCCCTCCCTCCCTCCTTCCTTTCTTCCTTCCCTCCTTCCCTCCCTCTCCCCTCCCTCTCTCCCTTCCTTCCCTCCTTCCCTCTTTCCCTCCCTCCTTCCTTCCTTCCTTCCTTCCTTCCTTCCTTCCTTCCTTCCTTCCTTCCCTCCTTCCCTCCCTCCCTCCCTTCCTTCCCTCTTTCCCTCCCTCCTTCCTCCCTCCCTCCCTCCTTCCCTCCCTCCTTCCTTCCTTCCTTCCTTCCTTCCCTCCTTCCCTCCCTCTCTCCCTTCCTTCCCTCCTTCCCTCTTTCCCTCCCTCCCTCCCTCCCTCCCTCCCTCCCTCCCTTCCTTCCTCCCTCTCTCTCTCTCTGTGTTTGTGTGCAGGTCCTAGGGCTTGAACTCCAAACCTTGCGCTCACTTGCTTCTTTTTGAGCTCAGAGCTGGCACGCTACCACTTGAGCCACACCCTCACTTCTGGCTTTTTGCTGGTTAGCGAGAGGCAAGGCTCTCTGATCTGTCTGCGGGGCTGGCTTTGAACCGGGCTCCTCCGGGGAGCTGGGCTGGCGGGCACGCAGGAGGCCGCAGCGGCACAGGCGGGGGGAGCTTGGCAGGGCGCAGCCCTGGAGAAGCGGCCGCGCCAGCGCGCACCTGCGCATCGTCTCGGTGATGCTCGCGTCGGTCCGTGTTTTATAAGACCTGGGGCAGATGTTCCTCACTAACACGCTTGCTTCTGTGTTTGCCCCACAGCGGGGCTCCACCCTCTGAACCACGTCCCCTGGTCTGCTTTGTGCTAGCTCATTGCACACCAGGAGGTCTTGGACTTGCTGGTCTGAGCCGTGATCCTCAGGTCTCGGCCTCCTGGGTAGCTAGGATGACAGGACTTCAAATGTCTACGGGCACATTTGCATCGATTTGCATCGATTTGCATAGAGCGCCCCAGCTCATTCTAATACAAACACAACGTTTGAAAGCATCCTGAGTTAGGAACTCTCTAGCAGTCGGTGCCTTAGAAGTACAAGCCCGGCTGCTAGCAAATACGCTATTCACATATTTATTCCTTGTCTTGGTATGAGAGAAGTCGTGTGTGTGTGTGTGTGTGTGTGTGTGTGTGTGTGCCAAATTCTAGGACTTGAACTCAGGGCCTGGGCGCTGTCCCTGAGCTCTTCCACTCAAGGCTGGTGCTCTACCCCTTGAGCCACAGCTCCACGTCTGGTTTTCGGGTGGTTCCTGGGAGATCAGAGTCTCACAGACTTTCCTGCCCAGGCTGGTTTTGAACCGTGATCCTCAGATCTCAGCCTCCCGAGTTGCTGGGATGACAGGCGGGAGCCACGGGTGCTTGTTATTATTATTGTTATTATTATTTTCGATTTTACTTTCAATACTTATATTTTTATT